CCCCCCCCCCCCCCCCCCCCCCTATGCCTGGGGAACGCTTGCGTTCGACACTTTGACACATACTGAGCGCGGTTTTGTATGTATGTTGCGCCTTTTCTGGTTCCCGTCGTCAGGCTTCATTTAGTCTCCGCTGGTTTGCCGCAGCGCACACCACCTATATACAGCAGCAGTCGAACTGGCGGCGATTGGTGATCTACATGTTGAAAGATTACACTACCGTACCCTTCCTCTGGCATGCGTGCAGTATTGAGGCCCGGTATTAACCAGCACGGAAAATCAAATGTAAAATGGGCCCATGCCAAATTCAGAAATATACTCCCCAAACCTAATTATTATTTGTTGAAAGAAACACAACCCGGCATGAAAAATAACACTAACCAAGTAATGCTTGCTTGGGTGTGTACATTGCCGGAAGACTGAAAAATTGGGGCCGACCATGTTATCGGAATAGAACACGGGTTGGGCAAGGAATCAAAAACAGCCTTGTGGAGGCTGTTACCCACAGGGGAGGCATGACTATGCGCTGTTCGGGGAATCGTACAAACACAGGTAGCCCCCGCTGACGCTAAGGATTCATTCTGTACAAATGGTATTAAGAACAACAAGAAACAGACCTGTCGCCAGGGGAAGAGTCAGCACCAAGCGATGTTTTCCTAGAGTAGTGTTGCGCTCTTTTGTTCACGTGTTGACCGATATTTCGCCGACTGAAGGAACGAGTTGCCTTAAGAGTGGTGTCCGGAAGGAGCTGATGCCACGCGCTGTTCAATTATCCCAAGGTTTGGCGCGTTAGATGCCGAATACACCCTAACCCAAACACGACATTTCATTTGTGTTGGCCCCAAGAAGTCAAACGACTCGAGGGCGGTTGGTTGCTCTACGTGTAAGACTAAGCCGCGGCGCAAGACGGGTAAGGGCTAGGTTGCTGTGCTCGAATTGCACCCACCCAAGGAATATTCCAAAAAAATGTATTCCGACCGTCAACCTTTGCGTTGGACCAATTCGTGAGCACTACTCTTAGACTGCCACCGGTTTGGTTTTCCACTGATAACTTTTTGAAGGAAGAAGCAACAGCAATAGCAATGGCACTCCACGGGAGGCAGCTCTCTGCTCCATCTTTCATGCCCGAGGTCTGATGTGGGGTATCGGTGCATGTCGGGAAACACGTTTTGGTTGACCCAAAAATATTCGCGTGAGAGAGCGGTTGGGTGAAGTTCGCGGGGATTGTCTGCTCAAAAAAAAATTTCCAGCGATAACTTTATGAAGGAGGAAGCAACAGCAATACCAATGGAAGTACGAGGGGGGTAGCTTTATCCAGCATCTTTCGTTTACAAGGTTTGGTGCCTTGGGGTATGGTGAGTTCCGAGAAGAAAGGTTACAAGAACCCTCTCCCACACGGAAAATCCCCCCAAAAAACCCGTCAGCCCTATCTTGATCGTCATTTTCTTCATCACGTGTGACGATCGGCATTTTGTCATCGAGCACCGAAGGAGGCTGCCCGGTTTTGGGCTTGCAGGTGAGCAGAGTCTTGGGGCTACAAGGAATGGCCATAGTCTCCGCGGTACGGTGCCGATAGCCTCTCTGTGAACAGTGTATAAACCTGGTCGTGTCGTGACCTGATTTTCAGCGGTCCCGCGTCGGATGTTCCAACAACGCCAACTCGCTTTCCCCGCAGCTCCGCAGCTGACTTGATATTGATTTTGATCTGAAATGTACCTTGGGGACGTCAATCCAGTGGGAAGAATTTGCTGAATACCAAAGGGCGTCGCAGCAGGTATGAGTTGTTCAACCAGTCAGACCTAGATTTTCATTTTTGTTTCATTGATCCTTTGAATTTGATATTTGGTTCAGCGTTAACAACGGCCCTTTCGACGGGTCGCTGACCTTACATCATCCAGAGGTGTGTTCATTCAATTCAGGATGCAAACGAAGTGTTTACAGGACGCGCTCCTGTGTCAATCGGTTGACACGTCAGACAGATCACGACCTACTATATGTTTCACTTCTGTGCTAACCATCACCACGGAGATAACATGCACAGATTACCATGTGTCCTACCGATCACAAGGACATACCGTTAAAATTGCTCCCTCGATCTGTAAGGATCTGATCTGTCCTATGCCCATGAGTGAAACCAGTTCCTGCCACAGACAGCGACAAGACCCACTTACCGTTATCACGGTTACGCTCAAGACATTAAGCAGGCCCGCGTGTTCACCTGCTCCTCTCAAGGGGTTCCTGTCGTGAATACACGCTGCGTCATTGCTGACCACGAAGCGTTCGCTAACACCACACACACTCGTTTCCCTGTGTCTGTTTCCTGATGGCACCAGCGGTCACGAAAACTACAGCGGCTGGAGCGACGTGCGCAGAGCAGGTTAGGACATGGAGAAAAATGGCAAGACCGATGCCCCGGTAAACCCTAGTGCCAGCGCGGGTATGACCCAAGAGAATCAGGGCACATGGGACAGGTGAGTCGCTCTGCTACTGCCTCCTACCCACCTGTACCGAAAACATAATCTTCCACCTTATGTCACGATTACACGTCTTATTTGAAGCTCTCCAGGCTGGAGCTGCAAGGTCTACTTGGCAGATGTGGCGAGTTGATCCGAAAAATGTCCCATTTTGTTATTTTGTTTTGTTTGCTTCGTGGTTCTGTGCGTTCCAAGACGCAATATCGGAGTGGTCGATTTTCAAAGGTCGAGTGCTCCACAGCACGGATGTCTCAATGCCGAAGGAGGGCCTTTTATGACTCATCTCGTGCAGGGTGTTGGCCGTGCGTGTATCTTTCTTTAGATAAAGATTTATCCACTATGCTACTCAGTCAGCGCTGACTGAGTATCATAGTGGATAAGTCTTTCTCTAACACCTTCGACCATCGTTCATTTTTGGCAGTCACTTCGTTGCGAAGCAATCGATTAATAGCTGTAACACGTCGGTCTATGGGACGTGTGCCATCTATCCGATGCTGACCTTGTATGCCTCTAGCCAGTGGTTATTTGTATTCTGATGCGATGAATGTTGGCGTTGAACGAACATGACTTTCCTCTTCCTCTGTATTATGTTGCCATACGTCGTCATACAGAGACAACTACGAAAGATGCTTGTCCAATCAAATTCGTCGACGAAGCGTTTTCTTTCCGCCCTGCCGCCGTCTCCCGAAATGTCGAACAAGAAACACGTCACTCGCTCTCCATGGTTATTGGTACTCTGCGGTTATTGGAAATCGGAGATGATTTTGGGCGGGGGAGGGGTTGGTGAACCCCCCCCACCCTCAGGTTAGTATGTTGGCTGGTCCTCAAACGGTTATGTAGACGGGGTCGTGTATCTCTAAGCGTGGAAGCTACCCAAGGAGTGTGGATGTTACCCAAAGTCTTTCTTGTTCCGTCACACGGAGAGACAAAAGTTTTTACCTCTTTCAAACGAGTAGCCAGAAATGAAACCGTCCGGATGTTGCTCCACCGCTCCTAAAGGATCGAACTCGATCTTCCAACCTATAGATGGGACACTTGCTGCCACGATCGTTGGAAAGGTTGACCGCGTGTTGGGGTCTAGGAAGTGACCGATCATGGGGTTGACACCACGCCCCCGAAACACACAGCTAAATCGGTTTCCGCTGTCAAATTCGGTGCAGGGCACGCGTGTTAATTTGTCAATTAGTTGGTTCGAGTGCGTCAGCGATTATGGAAGAGTTTCTACAGCTTGTTGTTGGAGTGTTTTGATGTGTGAGACAGTTGTGTTGAGGGAGGTATGGTTCCCACTCGTGTGTTTTCTAGACCTTCCGCTGTGGGTCATTCTATCGCGCCACCTAATACACGGAGTACAAATTCAGCCGATGCCGAGAACCTCCTGTCTTCTGTTGTTGGTTTGAGTGTTTCCGGATGTTGTCATCATCGCCTGCCATTGCAGGAGTACCGAGGGACGTGTTTGATCATGGCTCGCTAAGGTAGTATTCACCCTGAGAACTCATGTATGATGCGCTTGCTGCGCTCCTGCAACTTGTCTACATGTAGACATATTCGTTTGATTTTTTCGTTTGTCTTATGGTTAGGAATTTGTGATATCTGACATCGATGTTTCCCTTGCAGACGATCTTGTTTGTCTCCTGGACGCCTTCTTGTGGTTAGGAATTTGTGATACCAAACATCGATGTTTCCCTTGCAGACGATCTTGTTCCTCTCCTGGATGCCGTGTATTCACCTTGCTCATTGGAAGTGTCTTGGATCACGTACATGTTTCGTATTTCGTATGGTCGTATTGAACATTATTATGGCCGCGCTCATGGTTGTCCGTGAAGCGCTGTCGAAAAGATAATTCGTATGCCGTGTTTTCTTCTGCTGTTCACTCTGCTTTGCGATGTCAGCTCAATTTTGATTCTTGCAGAAGGGCGAGGGTGACCGTTTCTTGCGCGCAGCACTTAGGGTCTTAGGGTCTTATGGTCTTATGGTCTTACGGTAACCCTTGTCTCGCTTGGCGCCTTCGTGCGCTTGCATTGGTCTGTCTTCATTCTACGGCCAACCGTCCTTGTGACTCCCGCCCCCGTGCGCAATCAAACGCCTGTTGTCCCTGCACCCCAGCTCGACCCAGACGTTCCACGGAGGGCAAGATTGGGCGCACCTCTCTAACTTTGTGGAGGACTTTAGCGTCACGACAAATGGGCTAGGCACCCCTGAAGCCGCGTTGCAAGCCGCCTACAAAGCGGTGAGGGAATATCAAAGTTTTTGTTGTTGTCGTGCTAGTCATCGTCGGCGTTGTTGTTTGTGGTGATTTGCGTATTACCTATGGAGCTGCAGCGAGTTGCTCGTAATTGGTTTTCTCGTGATGGCTTCGACACGACATGTGTACCTTGGTATGGAGCGAAGACTTTTCCCGGTGTACAACGGTAGGTGCACGCGCGCAGGCGCTGCGAATAGAAAACATTCAGAAAAGCGTTGGCCTATTTTGCCGATAAGGGTGAGTATGAAATGGTCGACGTTGCGCCCTATCTACCATCAAGTATGTCGTGGTTCGAAGGAAGGGATTTTCTAGTTTCTTTTCACGATCCTTCTCCTCTCTCATGTGCGAATATTAGGTGTCTGACAGTGGAACAGTACTCGCCGCGAACAGCCAAAGTGTCTTGTCACCCCTGGTAACACAGCCTGCCGTTGTGAGCGTTTTTGGTTGATGAAGTATCCCCTTGCGGACAACGTCCCCGTCAAGTTCTACCCACCAGCAACCAAGACGTGAACCGCTCCGAACGACCGACGCATGAACTTTTTCTTCGTTGTTTCGTGAGGTTGCTGGCATCAAGCACTACCCGCCCTCCGACTTTGAGCCGGCGGCGTCCGACCTGGCGCGGTTCTTGTGGCCCGGAGAGTCCTGGACGCAGGGGAGACAGCGTCTTCTGCTAGGAAACGGTGAGGAACTCCATCATCGGGTTGGGAGGATGTTGATCAACTGGCCGTTGAGGGCGGGGCGAGTTTCAAGATATGTTACATATTGCAAAGGCGGAGGTGTTAGTTATCGTTCATTGCCTTATGTTGCTCTTGACAGGTGCTCCGGGCAGTAGAGGTTACGTGTTGGACGTGAGAGAAAATTATGTCGAGGAGTTTTTTAAGACATTCGGGAGAGTCATAATGTGGCACACGCAGGGCTGAGAATGGCGACACGTACCGTGGTACAGACACAAACATTGTCGACGCGGGCACCCAGGAAAAAGCGAAATTATTGTGAGTTTTGAAACTGTTTTTGCGGTTATGTTTACCCGTTCCAATGCAGCTTCGAGGCTTAACTGACCTTTCCCGAGGAGACCATCGAGTACCAGGTTCACCGCATACGTACCATTGACCGATCTTGCCTTCCGCGCCATAACGACCCATCTGTTGCCTGTACGACCTTATGCTCGGTTTCAGGCGCGAGCGAATTGATTGATCTTGTCATCCGCAACGCGAACCCCGGCCGATGGCGGCCCGGGCCTCAACGCACCCAGTACAAGGAGTATGCTCGCTCCGCTCTTGCTGCAGGTGGGTGTTTTCGGCGTCGTTGTAGAAAGCAGCGACAGGTACCACAGGGTCTGTTTCACCGACGCTCCGACAAAAAACATGGAGGGCTTACTTGGTTCGTCCAGCCCTAGTTGCAAACCATCAAATATATCCCCCAGAGGATGTTGAACCGTCAGCAGATTGGCTTTCAATGTGTGTTCTATTACATGTGTCAGCCTTCGTTGGACCGTTTTTTCTCCGTTTACGATGTTGATGCGCCTCGTCGACCTGCATCTTCAGGGTGGCCTCCGCATTCCACTTCTTATCCACAGCATTCCATCTGATTATTGAATCAGAGCCTATCCCATCCTTGTCGACCTGTCGGTATTGACACCTTTGTCTTGGAGTGCTTTTATGGGATTGAGTTCAAGCAATTGACCGGTAGTCCTTGGTAAGATACATTGGTTCGGCGGGAAGTGCAACTCCCTGGGGTAGAATTGTAGGGGTGTGTGTCGTCATGGCCCCTCGCTGGAGGTGACGCAGTCTACGAACGATACCAAGGCAACAGCAAGCACTCCTGTACCAAGATATCCGTAAGCAAGTGAGTCTCATGCGTGTACACCTCACCACATTTGGCGTCGTCGGCAGGACGTTGCCTCTTGCACTGATCCTGAGGATGCACCGCCAAACTTTGCTGACGTCTCCCTTGTATTGCCGACGTCGACATGCCCTTTCCACGGCGAGTGATGAGTACGATGCCCTTGTTGACATGAGTACGTCCCATCTTGACTCTCTTTTTGGCGATGCCTCCGTTTCCTTCCATAGGCTTCACCACGGCGGACCCCACCGACCGGTCGGCCACTTTGATGTGCCTCGTCAACCCGACCAACCCCACCGGGGACTACTGGGGCGTTGAAGAAATGAAGGCGTTCATTGAGGGGGGATGCGACTCCGGAACCACGGTGATCGTCGGTGAGGAGAAAGGAGGGACGGGAAGACGGGGGGATAGTAGACACGGGGCCTATGGTATCAATGCTGAGCGCACGCGTCTGAGGCGCAGGCTCTGTTGGGAGTAAGGGGTCTGTGCGTCAAATTGGTGATTGTACACGTCCACCGTTGGTTGGGGAGAAGACGCCGGTTGCTTCGGGTAGGATCGATGTTCGCTTTACCTGTATCACCTTACCTGCACGTTGGGTGTGCGTAGGACAGCCTTTTAATGATTTTCTTGTGCATCAATACTCGCCTGTACAAATATGATATAAAGTATGACATATTTCTGCTCCATCGCTGTATCTGAGGGTTTCTTGGATACATTTCCATATGACGATTTTGCCGAATTGTGCCTACAAATTCATCTGTGTAGAGAACGACGTATTAGCAAGCACAGCTTTGCGACCCGGCCTGCCGCGTTCTGCAACAAGACGAAGACAAAAAAACTTAAACCCATGATGTCCGATTATTTTTGTATCCTTGGCAGACGAGAGTATGCAACCGTGGCTAGGACCCAAATGGAGGGAAGATAGCCTCTACTCTCAAGCAGAGTGGCTTCGGAGCATGTCCGTTGATAAGGGGGTGCACGTGTGGGTCATGACCAGCTGGACCAAGGTGAGAGTGTGTGCTGAGTTTTTCATTACATTGTTCCGCATGAATCTCAAGGGAGTGATGGTTTTTGAGTGACCTCTAGTTTAGGGCAGCTGGACGGGGTATTTTTTTTCATGCGGAGTATCGTACTCATGTGCCTCCTGCCCAGGTTCTCGATAGTGGGTGCTTAGCTGTAGTAGCGCGTTGTTAGACGTGAGAGCTTCCTTGCAGCGGATGCGCAACCATCGGGAACATGGTGTTTCTGTGATGTGCCCTCTTCGGGGTTTAACGAGGCACTCGCTTGTCTTAGATTCGTTGTCCCTTATACGCCTTGGCGGATGACGACGAAGTCCCTCTGACCGGGTAGATGTCAAATTCATGAAGCGCGTTATGCTGGCCTGTTTCGTAGATATTTCATAGCCCGTCTCCATTCTCGACAACAGCTTAAACTGATGGTGGGGTGTGGGGCCCGGAGAAACGCCGTTGGACTACAACCATTAGTAGTTCTGCCCGGTGCGGAGGGTCTTTTTGACAGGACTTTTCCAGGGCACCCACAAGAACCCTTAACATTCTTTGAAGTCCTACCCGGCGACTGTCCTTTTATGTTTTTTGCTTTTCCGTCTATAAATGCTTAGACTTTTTAAATGAGCAAGATATCACGGATCTACTCCTTGCCTTCACTTCCTGGGGGTTCCTTCTCAAACGCTGCCTGTTAAGGTACCGGACTTGATAGTCACAGCGGAATAGACAAGGTATAGCATTGAGGCACAAGGTGTCAACGGCGGTAACCATCACCCAAAAAATACACATCCGTGGGCTCAAGCCTCAGGCTGAAGGGTACCTCACTTCTACCACCAAGAGCATGCTGAACCGTTCAACGATGCACAGGAGCTGATGGGGGAGGCAATCAATATGTTCATGTGGCCAGAGATCCCACCGCCATTGAAACACGAAGAAACCATTCCAGTGGTGCAATACCTTGTCTATTCCACAGTGGTTAACACGTCCGGTACCCTGAACTTGGGCCATTAGCATGCGAGAAGGAAGACCTCGGAGTGGGAGAAAAGGAGTTGAACGGTGGTGTCTAGCCCATTCGGAGAGTCACAGCGTCATCCGTGTAAGCTAAAGAGGACCCACGAGGGCCCCACGCAAGACTGCAAGGAGTGTTAAGAGTTCTTGCCAATACCGTGGAAAAGTCCTGCTACATCATTTGAGTAGTGTTTGAAGCACTTGCCTAATTTGGCGATAACGCAGGACATCTCCCTGCCTAGCGATGGATTCATCGACTCGACATGCTTCGGGTGCACTCTGTGCATCGGTAGTGCTTGCGACCTTTCGCAGTATCTCTTGCAATGAGTGCTGCTAATAGCCTCCAAACACGCGCGTACTGCTGGGTGTACTATAGGCGGGTCTAACTCGCCCCAACTTCGAGCGTTTGTCTTTCCTCAAGTTCTAAATCAAATATCGTTCTTGATGAGCTTGTACAGCATCCGACATGCTTTGGAGCATCCCACCACTAAATCTTTTTCAACGCATCCCCCTGGCTTGCTGTGTCTGATGCCTCCTATTTCTATCTCGCGACCGTTTCATCTTTGTTCTCGTGGTGGCTCGTGTCCGCTTTTCGTGTCTGATGTCGGTGCTTCTTGGTGTGTGGGAGAAGATTTGGTCCTGCTGCGGCGTGAGACTGGGTTCAGTCGTAGCGCCGACGACCGAGCTGCAGAAGGCGGTGAAGGCCAAGCAGGTGAGGGATGAACCAGGCGTTGGGATAGCGTGCTTCATGTGCCGTTTCGTTTGAGTACTGTAGGCCGGCGGTTGTGATGTTGTCCGCTTTCGTGATGCTTCATGTCTCCGTGCTGTGTTGGTTGCTTGTTGGGGGGGGGCAGTCGCTAGGCGCTTCATCGCTTGTTTCAGCAAGCAATTGAGCAAAGTACAGAGTGCGTAAGGGTTAGAGGTTGTGATGTGGACTGGTCGGGACATGAGGATGATATACTTATTGGAGTCAGGAGAAGGGTTCAGCGGTCCCTCCCCCCTTCTTGCGCATGCTCACGAATCGTTTCCTTTCCATCGCAGGATTCCATACCGCTGTTTTGACTCCCGAGAGAGCTTCGAACCCGAAACATGCCGCTAGTTATGTACAGTAGGTTTCCGAGGTTGCCACAATTATAGGCCACCGCGGCCCCCGACTCGTTACTGACGATGATTCTTGAGAGTATTGATGTAGACCCTGAAGTACGGTACCATTACAAACGGGTGACATACGGTACCAATAACGCGTGCCTGCGGCACGCTTCAGCGCGATTGCGTAGATGGAGAAAGGTTCTGCGCGTCAACGGCCACCTCACTACTGGCGCCTCAAACGACCGCCGCTTTTCCAGGTACCGTGGAGCGTGAACAGCATCGCTTTGCATTTCCTGTCGGAGGCCATCAGGGACACCGCCTACCTCGAGTAAGAAGCGTATCATGGCTTGTTTCGTCACTGTCGCCTGTGGACTGTTTTGCCTCTTCTCACACTCTCTTCAAACGATGGCACTGAGTCGACTTTGGGTATGCTCTTTCAATGGCTTTGCCATCATCACTCGCAGAAGAGATGAACTCGATCGTGCCGTCCACCTACATGCGTCTCGCATCGAAGAGAAATGTTCACGGACGTTGGCGTCACAGTAACGTGACCTGTGTCCAATTCCTTAGGGAGAGAAGCTTCCTGGACCGTCGTGGCATGTACCATCGTGGCATGTAACAATTCGTTTCGAGAATTCTTCCACCAATTGTATTCCGTGTCTTGGAAACTAAGCGTGCATTCAGCAGGCATTGTAGCCCAAATTGAAGCCGGCCGGTCCACCTTCTGAGCAAGAAGCCGACAAATTGTGACATCAAAAACATTGGGCGCGAGTAACCTATGCCCAGATACACTTGTGCGATTATGAGTTTTGCGTACAAACTTAGGTGGTGTTTGGGCTTATGCAATTTGATCTTTTGTGAATCTTTCTAGGCGAGCTGGTCATCGCTGTATGCGGCTTTGCGTTTGTGCTGACTTGAGGGAGGGAGGGAGGGTATGTGGAACCTGGTTTGTGGTGTGTTTCACGGGGGAAGTGTCGGTATGGCTGCTTCCCTTTGGCCGCACTAGCACATGCCCCTCATCGTGATAGGTGTGTTGCCCCACGTCCTTTTCTATCCCCTACGGGTCGCTTCAGAAGGCATAGTTTCATTGGTCCTGCCGTAGTAGAATGCCCGGATTTAGTTTGTCGCCGCTGTCATTGCTCAAAATATCCCCTCCTGACTCGGTGTGCATGCATGCAACGGTTTTCATGTGGCCACAGGAGGACGTGGGACCTGACGAAGGTCTGGAATCGCGACACACGCAGGGAGATCCTGGAGCAGCACCCAGACTGGGAGGTGCATGGGAAGGTGAGTCCATGACTCTCAAGAGAGATCTCGAAACTGTTACTGCTATCTTTTCTGTCCAGGTAAAGCCCCCCATTCCCTCCGTGCTGCCTCGGCGCAACTGAGGGAATCAATTCGTAGGTCGATAGGAAGCCGACCAGAGTGGCCGGTTGTGCACGGTTGTGGACGGGCAGTTCACAAGGGATATGTTCCACATCGCAGTACGACTTATAATAGGGATGTGTGTGGATTGTGGAACGTAGCGACAAGTTCGAATAGTGGCTGTGTTCAAACTTGGCAGGCAGTGCCTTTGCTGGGACACAAACGCTAGCCTAGAACGGCTGAAGAGCCTAGCAGAATGTAGCGACTACGGCGCTGAGTTTGGTTTTAGAGCACGCAAGCGGCGTAGGTTAATTAGTTCGCATGAACTTCAGGACTGTGTTGTACTGTTCTGGGATGGGTCCTCAGAGACGAAACGCAAAGAAGCGCCGAGTACTCCTCCTTCCCACGACATACGAGCCACGGGTCGAACATGATGAAGCCGAAATGTACGCTGAACTTTGTTGTACAGTCGCCCGGAGCCGCCGAAGTTGCACGTACGATTGGTACGAACGTGTGTACGTGAACGCTCTCCCTTCAAGGGAACACCTCGTCAACGATGAAATCTGTTGAGCCGATGCTACGATGGCTTCGCTCCTGAAATACGACGGCGTGCATGACGGCGTCCTGGACATAAACCCTTATCCTGCTCTTCGCCTGCCTCCCTGCTGTTTTGCCAGGACTTCCTCTCCTGGCTATGGATAGACACTCACGACGAGGCGGTGACTGCGGACGTCGTTCGCCTCGCTCGCGCTGCGGGCGTTCCTGTGCGGTCGGGGGCACCTGGCTACAACCTCCCGACCTTTTTTAGGATCGCTGTCCGTAAGGAAGCACAGAGGGCGGCACTGTGGAAAGCGCTTCTTCCGCTGGCCCCGTCCTCTTAGCCGTAGGTTAGGTCGCTTGATGTTAGCTTTGGATAGGTGTCAAGGGTATTGAGGGCTGAGAGTTGAATTTATCAGTGTTTCCAAGGTTCATGGTTGGTTACATACATGCGATTGAGTGGTGCAGTTGGTATTTTTGCACCCTCGTGACGTTTGGGAACCGGTTCGATGGTCGGGGAAGTCACACACACTGGGGGTATGTCCTAAAACATGGATTGAATGTTTTAGGCGTACTCAACACTGTGGACACCTTAACGGTCGACGAGAGTGCGGAACAGTCGAATACTTGTCGCGATACAAATTAGGCCAAGCACCGAAGACAGACGGCTAAAAAACAAACTCGTGTGGCTTTTCTGTGTGACCCCGCGTGATGTGTCCGGAAAATGTTCCGATAGAAAGACCAACGCCCAGAATATGTGGGACGGCGCAAACACAGCACACACACGAGTCGAGTGCAAGGTAGCAGCCTTCGTAGACGTGTGTAGTTTTCTTCTGTTGCTACCGTTTCTGTCTTTCATCCGGAGGATAGGTTAGTCTCCCCCATCCCGTCCCCTCACGGGGTCCCAGTTAGTGGCACTAGAAGTGTTTTGTGTTTTCAGCCGCACTGAGACTGACGTCTTTTCATTGGTCAGCCGGTTAGCGCGGTCGATGCTAACATTAATACACACACACACGATGCCGAATGTGGGTAGCGGCGGGAGGGGTAGCGGTTTGCTTTTGAAACGAGCTAGTAGGTTCTTCGTGCTGGCAGCCAAATGGGTCGAACCGCGGCTCTGTTTGGTAGTCAAGTACCGCACGTGTGAAATCGTTCCGTCGTTGCGGTTGTGTGCTATATGAGAATTATTTCCAGAAGAGAGGGGGTGGGGAAGGGTATTGGGTTGTGGTTGTGCTAGCAAGGCCACGTGGGATTTGGTAGAAGAAAAATCCAGTCGTCAAGAGGTATATCCGTGCTGCAATGGAGCATGCTGTCGAACCCAACAAAAGGGAAGAGAGATGAGGGAGGTACCAATTGTTTTGTAACCTTATGACAAGAAGTCGTAATACCTGAGTTTTTTTGCGAGGACTAAGGCACGTGCCGGTGTTTTTTTAGGGTCTGCAGATAGATATAGGTCGCCTGGGAATAGGTCAGCCAGCGTTATTTGTTTTCTCTCCTTCGGTTCTAGGCGTGTGACGAGTGTAAAATATCACATCAAGACCGCTTAGGTTGGTAGATATCTTGGATGGGGTAGCAAGTTTCCGCTATCCGGCTCCAGGGCCAGCGCTGTCGTGCATCCCACTTTGTTCGGACACAGCAGTGTATCCATCATTTGTCTTGTGCTACCCACGCCAGCCGGAGTCGCATAATATCAGGACGGCCGCGTAGGTTTTGTTTGTTTTTCCACTTTCCTCCTGCGGTACTTCGCCAAACGTTGGCCACAAAAAAAATCTCGCAGTCCAAATGTTGTACAAACGATTTGCTCGTTTTCCACGTGTGGGCGTCGAGTGAGATTTCGATCCAATGCCGTGTGATTTCGAGTGGCGTAAGAGGTAATACCTCCTATTTTGGGCTAGGTCGAGGTTGGTCTAGCGCGAAAACGGCGTGAGTTACGCAGTGCGGGACAGATACAGTATCTGTCCTTAGGTTGGTTTGGTTGGGCTGGGGTTCCTATTATAAACCTCCTATAACTTCATGAAATTATATGCCCAGTCTCCAGTCGGTTTCAATCCGCTTACTGAAAAGAATTCACATCCCTTTCGGCTGAGGTTATACCTCGAACGAGTAGACTCTCTAATATGAAATTGTTTTATCACGTTTTTCTCGGGAGAACATGATTGGGTTTTTGAGGACAAGTGCACAGGAAAATCTATCTGCAGCTGATGACGAGGCGTTTGACGACGCCACAAGGTGGCCCAGCTGAGATTTTTTTTCCCGAAATTTTGTTGACGAGACAACGAGCGATCGAGGCAGGAGTTCTGCGAGCCGGTGAGGATGACAGAAACAACGCGCATGGTAACACATGCTCGCACATTTCTGGGGTGTGCAGCATACTTGCACAGCGGCGCCGCGTATGCGCTTTCGCCGTGTATCATGACCTACCGGCAATACGACCAAGATGTGTAGATCGGTCGCGTCGGTACTTAACTCAGCCCAGGAAAACATCATGTTGTACCACACAACCACCGAAATGAACAAGCGTTGAACATACCCTTGACTCGGATCGAGCGTAGATACACGCCGTATCGTCGCAGTAGCGCGCGCGAGACCACACGAACCGAACGCGCGTGAGGTCACAAACAGAAGGCGCAGGAGGTACAGCAGTAGGAGAAAACAAAAAGCAGTGATAGAGGTCTATCTACCCTCGCCCACGAGCAATCGATACACACCGAAGAAGTTTTACATGTTGCATACAGCTCCAAACAACCTTAAGGCACCCGAAAAAGAACACTTCAGGCTACGTATATATGCAGAGCAAGGTACGTACATGGTATATATTTATGCGAGCGAGACCCTCGTTGCTCTTGAGATGCTGGCGAGCTTCTGGCCGCTGCAGCGCGATGCTGTGTATGTACGTGCACGATTGCGGCGCCGTGAACAAAGACACCCGCCGCCGCCCGTTAGCTTTTGGAAAATTGAAATACTGCGCACAGGGCCCTGAGCTGTTGCACACGTTACGCGGGAAAAACGCTCTAGTGCCGGGCGGAACCGAGAGAGAAGGCTTTGCCTCCTACTGCGTGCGGAACGTGATGAAATGTGGCGAGCGTCCATGGTTTGCGACGCCCCGCCGAGGGGCATTCGAGATGCCGCGAGACATGCGCCACAGGTAGGTCCAGATCGACTTGAGAGACCCGGTCGGGCATCGGCGGGGACATCCGAGTGGCATGGAAATACGCGCACGGCGACAAAAATAACTTCCACTGATGCCAACCCCAACTTAGCCGATTCACTATTTTATCCACTAGGTTTGCTTTGCTTAGAAAACTTGCGAAGACTGCTGAGAAAATCTGAAGCTGATGAAGACTCCGAATTGTTTACCCTCACGAGAAGGTGAAACCTCTGAAAGTAGCTTTTTGATGTTTCCATGTCCAGCCGAGGGACTTCAGTGAAAAACATTCCGAACACATAATGGATAGCCCCTCATCCCCGGGAAAGTAACTCTTCGAGTTCGGTTGCACATAGGGAACTAGACTATGGGGGGTTTCGTTCACGAATAATATATATCGTTGCCCCTCATTCAGAGAGGTTTCTATTCACGGTGGCCCTTACTTACGCAATCATGTACTTTGTAGAAATTAGAGCCCTCCCTCCCCGGTATTTGCCATCGGGGTTGGGTTTTCGTCGCTTGGCAGCGATGTCGTAAAACAAACCGATCACTTCGTGAACTCGGCAACCAGGATATTACCGCTTTTTTTTTACGTCTGTTCTTTTCTTTCTGCGGTAACCATCATGAATGGTGGTCGAGTAGATCATGTTGTGCGGGGTGGAGAATCCTCACTCCGCGCAAGGGGCATGATCGCACCACGTTGTGTTAAAATGGTCCAGCACCCTCGAGGCAGTTACACAGTGCTTACAACTGTCTCTGGAAGTGAAGCTCCAGAAACAAAATTAAGTCATACGCAGCTGTCATCCGTGTGCAAGGAAGTAAGAACAAGATGCCGAACACCCTTAGCAGGATGCAGCGCACCCTTCATGCGACTCGCCGAATATCTCACGGCGCTTCGCGCTTGGTGATGTGAGAGCCTGGTCCGGTGAGAACCCNCGCATGCACGACTATGAGTACCCCCCCCCCCCCTCTCCCCAATATTCACATAACGAACGGGGATACCGGGCACTGATTGGGCGGGGGTCAACAGTCCATCCAGACCCAAGAAATGAAAGAAGGCGTGTTTCTCTCAGTTCCTCAGCAGCTGTCCCTGCTCTGCCCCTTCCCCACAGCCAGGCGAGGGAGAACTTTAGCAGGGCAACTTATCTGACAACACATCCGTCCGACAACAGAACCTCGCTCTCACGTCCTTTGGTTGGGGTGGCATTCGTGGCTCCACCATCGCATGAGCGAACCCAGGCACAACCCCAACCAACCAAGCCGTNACAAAAACAAAAACAAAACAAAAATCAACAATAAGGGAGGGCGCTTCCCACACCTGCCCAAAGTAAAAATCAAAGGGTAACGTACCAGCACCAGGCACTACGCACCAGGGCATGGGGGTAACGGAGCAAACAGGACATTTGGCGCTGAAGGATGCACGCTCGGGTTCGAATCCCGGCTGCTCACTTTCCCAAGCACCAACAAGTTCTTTTCAGGCAGCATCTGGCGAGGGGTCCGTCCCCGGAGATCTCTACTCACTCCTCCAGTGATCCAGGCGGGTGCGAATGAGCTCTGAGCATATCTTCAGTGTGCTTGGATGATACTGCGTCTCTTCACAGGTCTGGCGTTTGCGGGTCCGAACATGAGGTGTGTGCATGAGCTGGCCAATCTTTGCTTTGAACGCACCCGGCCACACGGCAACCACATCATCATCAATGCCAGCGATGGCAGCACAGTGCTCCGAGTGTTGCTCTCGCAAATAATCATGTGGTTCGAAGGGACAGAGAGACTAGTCACCGGGAATCCAACCACTACATAGACTATCTATATATAAAAAAATCTCTGAACATCCGGGGGAAACGCTTTGCACGGTGTGGCATGAAACTCCTCTTTCAAGACGGCACGAGCGTGAAACAAACGTGAAAAACCACACAGAATAGCGGAGTTCATCACCTCTTGGTCTCTCACCACACGCACGGAACATCTACCGTGCAACGGTTATTAGTTCTTCGCCCGTATGCATGCAAGAGCAAAGATGAGTGCTGCACTTCTCTTGCCTTGATAAACAAAGCCAAAGCACGGCAGGAGGGGTGGGTAGGGGGGCCTCGAAATGACACAAATGCTGTGAGCGATGAGTTTAGTGAAGCCGAAAAAAAATAATAGAATCGAAATGTTTGCCCTTCGAATCATTTTCCCGTCGTTTTGTAACGAGTGATGTTCCTCCTGCAGTACATGTTTGCCGAAACCTAACCAACTTGTTTGAACTTGGTTGGATTCAACTACTCGCCGTTTAGGTATGAGTGCAGCTCCTGCCGCAGTCCACCACTTCTATAACGACAGAGACGGCTGCATCGCGACATAACCGAGAACCTGTTCGTGGGTCTACGAACATTGGTGTTGGATACATGTGCTGGATGATTTGGTGTCAGGCAGACCGGTAACATTGCCGTTTGGTAGGGGGCACCGCGATGATTGACGGGCCCCCTCCTTGCTGTGGGAGCCGCACTTTGAGCACTCCCTCTTTCGTCCGTGTGAAGGACGATCGTCTACCTCTCGTGAAGTTGATACATAACCAAAACAGTCTCACCCGAGAAATATGTGGCGTAGGCCGCAAACACTCTAGAGTGGTTTTTGCCCCTCGAGGGAAGCCACATTGGGATGAGCTCTGCTGGAGACGAAGAGCGCACTGCTGCGAGCGGAGAACAGATCCGCCCGCCGGTGCAGGAGGGCAGCGATGCGGAGCTTGCATGTTTGCAACTGCAGGCCTCACGATTGGCGGCCCTGGTGGAGGAGTCGGTGAAAAGGAGCCTGGCAGCGGATGCAGCTAGTAGGGGCGGCTGGATTGCCGCCACCGTAGGCCAACAAGAGCCCCTGCAGCCGCACGGCGGAGGCGGGGGATTTCTCCAGTAGCAAGCGAGAGATGGTGGGCAAGGACCATGGCACTGGAAGGCGGCTGGGCCAGCAGATCGGGAGCGAATCCTGCGAGACCAGNTGTTTGCAACTGCAGGCCTCACGATTGGCGGCCCTGGTGGAGGAGTCGGTGAAAAGGAGCCTGGCAGCGGATGCAGCTAGTAGGGGCGGCTGGATTGCCGCCACCGTAGGCCAACAAGAGCCCCTGCAGCCGCACGGCGGAGGCGGGGGATTTCTCCAGTAGCAAGCGAGAGATGGTGGGCAAGGACCATGGCACTGGAAGGCGGCTGGGCCAGCAGATCGGGAGCGAATCCTGCGAGACCAGCCGGAGTGGGCCCGGGCATACGACCGGACTACGGGGAAGCGAGGGGGTTAAACCCCCCAGGTGAGATACCCGTGATCCGAGAAAATGGAGAATTCCTCGACGGCTACAGCAGCAGCTTCATGAAGAGAGTAGCAGTCAATGCCCCGCGTCTCGAAGGGGCGAGTCGCGGCCATGGGTATGACTCGTGGGGAAAGTCGCATATCCAAGCAGCCAAGACTGCAGGACTGGACGGCCAACTGATCGGCAACAACGAGAGACATGCACCTGTCGNAAAATGGAGAATTCCTCGACGGCTACAGCAGCAGCTTCATGAAGAGAGTAGCAGTCAATGCCCCGCGTCTCGAAGGGGCGAGTCGCGGCCATGGGTATGACTCGTGGGGAAAGTCGCATATCCAAGCAGCCAAGACTGCAGGACTGGACGGCCAACTGATCGGCAACAACGAGAGACATGCACCTGTCGGCAGCCCAAACGTGCCAAGCTCGGAGCTGTACCGCCTCCAATACACCAGCGACGAGTTCCAGAGGGGCCTCCAAGCGATCCATTTTGCGACCACTGCCATCGTCAGAGAAGCCGACAAGGCGATCGTGAACAAATGCGAGACCGCAAAAGAGATCCTCGCGGAACTCGACAAAATCTACGATCCGGAATTGCAGGGCTCGAAACAAGCCCTCACGAAGCAAATGTTCAACTTCCCGATCCCCACACACAGCAGCAGAAACCCCATCGAGCTCCTGTACTTGCTCGAGCTGCTGTACTCACGCCCACGCGAAAAAGGGCTCAACGCTGACGCACCCTTTGTACTCGCCCACTTCGTTGGTTCCCTCCCACCCGAGTACCAACAAGCGAAGTTCCTGTTGGAGACAGCAACGGCGCTGGATACGGCCGAGATCGTCAGAAACGTGAGCACGGTGCACGCGAGTCTTCCGGAGGGGAGGAAGGCCTTGAAGGGCCAGCGGAGGGCGGAGCACGCTCTCCTCGCGAGCGACGGTAGCGGTGGGGGAGGAGGGCCGGGCCGCGGCGACGGCGGCCGCCGCAAGGGTGGCGGCGGCGGCGGCAACCAGAAGGGGAGAGGGAGTGGCGCGCAGGCTGGTGGCGGCTGCGGAGGCGGCGACGACGATGCGGGTAGCATGCGCGGTCGCTGTTTCCGGTGCGGCAAGAAGGGCCACCAGGTGGCCGACTGCACCGAGAGCAAGCCCGTGCGATGTGAGACATGCAAGGACTACGGGCACGACAAGAGCAAGTGCCCGACCGAGGGGGCGGTACTCGTGGTGGAACGGGCGGCGGGGGAGGGGTCTGCGAACGCCACAGCACTGGACGTGGCAGAATAGGCGCTGGTGGTCGGTGGCATCTCAGGCGAGTGTCACAAAGTCGTTGGTCGAGGGGGTGTAGAGCAGGCTAGGCGGGGTAGGGATGTTGCCGATACCGGCGCTACCACCCACGTGTTCGCGAACTCAGATGGGCAGGAGTGTGATCGACGTGTGCGCTTCGCCGCCGGAGAAACTTTTTTCCCCATCGTGGGGTACGGCGACGTGACGGTCACCCTTTGCTCGCGCCAAGGCACAACCGACCTGTTGTTGAAACGGGTGGCACACGTTCCCCGACTAGATTACAACCTCGCATCTTTCACTTCCCTCTTCGACGATGGGTTCGAAACCAAACCCTCAATAGACACGAGTTGGAATTGAAGAGAGGGGTGGGGGGAGTCGGTGTACTTCCCCCGATGCGACAACCTGTACGTCCAAAACGGTTTCCGCACACACAGCGAACATGCCTATGCCGCAATTGCTCCTGGCAACGCGAAAGCGTCCAGCACCCCCGTTGACATCAACGATTTCCACTGCGCGCACGGCCACTCCCACGAGGTGCTGCTGAGGACCACGGCGAAGGAGCAGGGGACGGCGCTGGTGGGCGAGCTCCGGGAGTGCCTGGGGTGCTCGACGGCGAAGGGACTTTCCAAGCCCATCCCCAACAAGACTTCGACCCGAGCATCGCTGCCTCCCATCGCAGAGGAAGAAGAGGAATTCGCGACTGAGGAGGACGAGGTTGGGGAGGGCGCGTCGAGCCACGGTGGAGGGAGGACAAAGGGAGAAGCTGTGGATGGAGGACCAAGTTTCAACCTTGGCACGACGGCAGCCCCAGGGCCCGCGGGGCCTCCCGCCCGTGTAGCCCCGGCGGCGCCGCCGGCCGCGCCCCAAGAGTCGGGTGCGGGCGACGCTGGCGATGGCACCCCCTCGAGCAGGGAGGCGCGAGTGTCGCCCCATCTACCACGTCGACCGGCACCGCCGATGTGGGCGGCGGCGAGGACTACCGCCGCCGCCGCCGCAGCAGCAGCAGCGGTAGCGGCGGCAGCAGCAGCGGCGATGACGGCGGCAGCGACAGCAGCAGCGGCAGCGACAGCGAGACGGACCTCCCGGCGCTCCGCGGGCCAGAGGCCCGGCGACTCGCTCGCTTCGACAAGCCGGCGGAACTCACCAGCCGCCGCACCAGGGAGAACCCTCGCCGAAACCCGAGGTACGAGTCGCCCCCGTCGCCGACAAGTGCCGAGGCCCTGCTCGCCTCGGCGGCGAGCCTGCCCGTCAGCAGCACGGAGGAGTTCACCAGCTGGATGCTCTCGGCGGTACTTCACGTGGCGGAAGGGCTAGAGGCAAGGGCGGTGCGAGAGTTGCTGTTCGAGCGCGCGGAAGAGACCCACCCTGCGCGCCAAGAGGCGGAGGACTTCCTGCTGGGTACGGTGGACCTCATGCTTATCTCGCCAGACGCCTTCGAGACGGCTCTGGCGTCCCACGAGCTAAGTGAATCCCCCATAGGCCCGAAGCGAGATGACGAGAAGGGAGGAGAGTGGCCGGTGAGGGAGGCGATCGGCAGCATGATGTGGGTGTCAACGTTCTCGCGTCCAGACGTCTCGTTCGCCGTGCGTGCGGTAGCGCGCCACGCCCACGGCCCGGCGAAGAGGCACTGGGACGTCATCCGGAAGATCCTCGGCTACTTGAAGGAGACGAGGGACCTCGGCTTCCAACGGGGATGGAAATTAGGACTGGCCGTGTACGTGGACGCTAGCTACGCCGACACGGAGGACAAGCGTTCGGTGTCAGGGTTGCCGATGGCGGGTGGAGGTACCGTAGTCAGCCATGGTAGCAAGACACAGAGCATCGTGTCTTTGTCTTCGACGGAAGCCTAGTACATTGCTGCCGGGGACGGCGTCAAGGAGGCGTTGTTTGTGCGTGCGGTACGTTCGTTTGTTGCCCCAGACCAGTGGTAGCAGCATCTAGGTCTTTGAGGACAACCAGGGGGGCATGGCGTTGGTGCAGAACCCCCTCAGCTCAGGTCGCACGAAACACATCGACGTTAGGTTCCATTTCATCCGTGGATTGTTTAGGTCGGGGGATATTTCGGTCAAGTTCGTTCCGACGACGGAGCAACAAGCGGACTTCCAAACCAAGGCCCATAGCAGGGCTAGTCTGCAGTACCACTGGCGCAAGTTGATGAATTTGCCGGAGTAGCTGTAGCAGTTTCTAGCACTTGGGAGAGGTCATGTTTTCCATGCGGGGAAAGGCGCATAGCTGTTGCGGTCTGTGTACCAATGTCAGGAGTAGGGGGCGTTGGGAGACCATCGTCCGGGGGAACGTTGTTCCTCGCGTTCTTGTCTTCGCCTTGGCCTTTCTAATAAGTGCGGCCGTTGTGATCCGCTGTGATAGCGACGGTTTTTGTGGTGGTAGGGTTTTTTCGAGGGGTTTTGCCCGGACGCCGGGTTTCCCCTCCATGTATTACCATGTTGGTATTTTCTGATGTATCCAGGGGCGTTCTTGCCCAATTGATGGTTAGTCACTTGCGTGAAGAACCAGGGAGGGTGTTCGTGGGTCTGCGAACATTGGTGTTGGATACATGTGCTGGATGATTTGGTGTCAGGCAGACCGGTAACATTGCCGTTTGGTAGGGGGCACCGCAATGATTCACGGGGCCCCTCCTTGCTGTGGGAGCCGCACTTTGAGCACTCCCTCTTTTGTCCGTGTGACGGACAATCGTCTGCCTCTCGTGAAGTTGATACATCACCAAAACAGTCTCACCCGATGAATATGTGGCGTAGGCCGCCAATAGGCTGCCCCTGTGTTGGTCGCTTGATGCAGTGGGAGACCAACTTCACGGGGCTATTGGAGCTCGTGCCGGACGTCGCTTGGGCCATGTCTGTGGGGTCGGTGGTTTGCGCGGATCTGATCGGCCGGGTCCCCAAATACGTGGTGGCTTTGGAGCGACCCTACAACGTAGACCACTCTGAATACAAGCAGGAGAGGCCGTTTACGGCGGTCTTCCTCGGAATTATCTAGGAGGCACAGGTCTCGCAGGACCCGGTGGTAGGCTGTGTCGCGCTGCACAATGAGTTGTCGTCGCCTGCTCAGAAAAATCGGGCGGTCGACCGGGAAGCGGCACGGAAGAAGCTCTAAGAGGCGCGCCCCCAAGCAGGTCTCTCGAAGAACCACCCTGCGATGATAGGGGGAGGCATGGCTGGGGTAGGGGGCGGGTGCGGAGCCCACGGCATACACCCTTTCGCCTTAGCACCGGCGCTTAACGCTGCAGCGTAATTTTGGCAGAGGCCACCGGCCTTCGCGATGCACGCCCAGCCCATGTTCGGCGGGCAAGGGCACCATGTACGGTCACCATACAGGGGCGGTGGACGCGGATCACGCGGCGGAAGGCAGGGCGGTCGCGGTTGGCGCGGGGGTGGTAGAGGAGTCGGAGCCCCGACTTGCGGGAGGTGCTCCGCGGCCGGAAAGCCGGCCAACCACTCTTTTCGCGCGTGCCCTCAGCAGGATTGCTACAAATGCGACCAAAACGGCCATATTCAGCGTTTCTGCCCGAACTAGTTGAAGGTTGCATTAGGGTATCACAAAGGAGGCAGGTTGTAGGGCCGTTGGGGAGCGAATGGGCAGCATTAGTAGGAGGGTGCCCGCACGTAAAGTGGCAGCGTTTCTCGGTCTGCATTGCACACGGGGTACAGCGACAGGACGTAGACAAGGGTACTGAAGGAGGAAAACACCCTGGTATTTGGGTGGGTGTTCGACCAACGGCAAGAAACAAAAGAAATAGAATATGTGTAAAATTAATGAAACAATGAGCAACACACGGATTGACACCGGAACGGCGGGACGGCCGGTCCGGCGAAGAGACGAACCGTCGCTCACGGGAAATATTGGTACGACGCGTGGTCGGCTTCTGTCGTTCGCACGGAGACTTGCAGCATGCACCTGGTGCACAACAAAAACTTTATAGCCAAGAAAAAAAAACGAACACGTACGCGCTTGCTCGGTCAAACTTTTTGACACCTCTGCACCTTGCCCTTTCTTGGCTTGGACGTTGGTCGACAAAAGGGCGCTTGGCTCGCTAGATTATTTCGCTAAAACAAACAAAAAAAGCGTAGACATGCATACATGTGACGGACTTTGAGACCACAGTCCTCGTATTGCAAAATGACTCAGGTTTGAGAGGGAGCAGATGAATTTCTGCGCGAGCGCACACGACGAGTAGCGAAAATCCGTACATGCTTCATTGGGGAAAACGGAGCGAGCGAGCAACATGTTCAGCGCCCAGATGTTGACCTTAGTCCAGACGTTTTGATGAAGGAGCATCCCGGGGTGACACACGCACAAGTGCCCGTGTGGCGTGTGGCGGCAAGACTATTTTAATCCCGATCACCACAAGTACCACGTGGCGTTTTGGGAAGAAGAAATTTCGTCCGCGTGTACGCCTGAAGAAAAAGCGATGTACCTGAGATGCTTGCGAGGCGTGGATGTACGGAAGTTTATTGACCCGAAGACAGAAGGATCGTTTCAAGGAAAAGAGTACAGAGGCTCAGAAATGACGCCAGTCGAACTGCCGAACCATGTACAAGAGGCGTTAGAGGTTTTCGTAGACGAGCAGGTGGCAAAATACGAGACAACGGGGGTGGCAGTGCCGTGGGAAACGGTGGCAGATACCTCAAAATACCCTACGCCACACATGGTCTTGCCATTATGAGCGGAGGAGTCGAAACCGAGAGCCTCTCTAGACGCGCGCTGGTTAAACCTTACGGGAAAACTGTGCCCACTCAAGATGGATGCCATGAAAAACGTGGCTCAGTGCACATGGCCAGGAACTTTTCAGATGACCGCGTACCACAGGTCAGGCTTCCATCACGTACCACTCGATAAGGCTTCGTGGCAGTACTTCGGTTTTTCGTGGCGAGGCAGGTATTACGTATTTACGGTACTGCGATTTGGTTGGTGTTCGTCTCCGTACATTTACCACTCACTTTCGGCGGTCGTTTCGAGACACCTTCGCACAAAAGGGATTCCGGTGCTCACGTGGATAGACGATTTCTACTTCACGAACTTTAGAGCGAACGGTAACCGCGTACGTGGTGATGAAGGTATTCTGCAAAGCAGGGTACTTTATGTCGATAGACAAGTGCGAGTTTGAGGCTACGACTCGTTTGATCTTTTTGGGGGTTGTGCGCGACTCGATCTAGGAAAAGTTCTTCATCCCGGAGTCGGAGCTCGATAAGTTGTCGGCGATATTAGTCGACGCACTAGAGAAGGAGGTCATCTCTTTTCAGACGCTAGAGAAGCTGGCAGGCAAATGTACCAGAATGTCGGTGGCGTGCCCCGCAGCAGCGTTGTACACGCATCACATGTACCAGGCCATAGGCAAGTATCAACGGGGAGGGGGCCGAAAGCGGAACAGGGAGATCGCCGTGACGAGGAATAGCGGATTGCGTGTTGAGATGGAGAAGTGGATGGAAGTGCGAACGGCGATGAAGGGGGCGTCGTGGTACAAGGCGGTGCACCAGACTTTGCACATTTCGGGAGCCTCAGACGCGTCATCGCGAGGATGGGGAGATCTCATCCGATGTCCAGGCAAGGAAGTGTTTTGAGCAGCGGGAGATTTTCCGGATGTGTGGTCCACGAGGCACATCAACGAGCAAGGGGCGTATGCGTTGAAGTAGACATTGGTACTGTACCGTAAGGAGCGGCCGAAACAAGTCAAGGGATCGACGTTGGTGATGGACGTAGACAACAAGGCGCTCTTCTACGCGGCGAAGAGAGGGCGATCGACGAATTCCTGTTTGCACGAAGTACTCACCGATTTGTTGTGGCTGCAAGCGAACGAGGATGTCACCCTGAGGTTGAAGTGGGTGTGCTCGCACGACAACGTGGAAGCGGACGACTTGTCGAGACCAGACGCGAATTCGTATGTCAGGTTGGAAAAGGCGAGTTTTACGGAGTTGTGGAAGTGGTCTGACCGAGGTTTTGACATGGATTGGATGACGACAGAAGCTTCGGCGCAGCGGGTACCAGGAAGTGGAAAACTACTGCCCTTTGATTCTCCTTTTCACGTTGAGGGATGAGCAGGGACGGACGTGCTCAGGCAGGATTTACGATACATGCCAGGTTCACAAACGCCGTGTTTCGGTTTCGGCTTTCCGCCGACAGCTATGGTGGGTGTGATATCGCAACGAGTGGCAGAATGCAAGGCGCCGGCGTACCAGAGCAGCAGCAGGCGTGGTACCAAAAGTTGGTGGACGCGACGGTGCGAGCGGTTCAGTTGGCGAGATAGGCAGAAGAGTCGTATTTTATCGTGAACCACCAGAAAGGACAAGTGTCATTCGCCTTTAAGAAGTGGGCGATGACAGCGGTATAGGTAAACTTTGCAGATTGATGAATATTATTGACAAAACGATTTATTTCAAACATCCAGGCCATGTAGGTGTTGCTCGGGGCGGCGAGACTTGTACTACGTATCATGGACAGTTGGTGGTCCAGCATACGGGGGGGTCGCCGACACACGCGAGGAGAAGGCAGGGACAGAGAAGCATTGGTGGTGGTGACACCGGCAAGGTCGCGAGTGTTATGCCCGTACGCGGAATTGCTGGGAGAAAACGACGATAACTACAGGTCTTACCAATGGTGTGCTAAGTCAAGTGCAACACCAGTCCAGACAAGTCAGTGGGATCCGTTGCACATCGACGAGGACGAAATCGCTAAGAGATGCGGAGAGCTTACGAAGAACGGCGGATACAGCTTCGATGAAGAGTCGATGCGCGACAACGCAGTTGTACACGCGATTCTTACGATCGCGGAAGCCAAGGTGAGCGGTGGAGATGGGGTAATCGCAACCGAGAGACGTGGTGGACTATTTGTGTTGGTTAGACTCATGCGGCAAGAGGAGGCGAAGTGTGGTTCATGCACGGGACTGCACAGCAGTAGGCACGACGAGTCTGGAGGAGTGTTCCACAGAGAAAGGGACATGTACGAAAAGATACGCACACGATTTTTTGCGAACCAATCAGTTCTCGAAGTTAACCGTAGCTTTTGAGAAGGAGATGGGCTGCACTCATGACTGGCATAGCCAGAGTAGGAAATCCGGCAAGAAGTGAGCTAGTCACACAGTACATGCGGTTCACAACGAGACAGCAGAAGAAGAAAGCAGGCGTACTGGTCAAGCAAGCACCGGCAATCCTGCGCAGTCATTTGTATCAGATGGTAGTCCCGATTAGAATTGAGATCGACTATACCACATCGAAGGTGAGGAAAGTACCTTGGCAAGGCATGCATGTGGCGTTTTTTATGGTAGCGTTCAATACTACCAAACGGGGCGATGAGTTAGTGAGCACACTCATCCAGCGCATTGTGAGATCGCCAATTAAGAGCGGCTTGATGTTCAATTTCCAGTGGGGCAAGACGCAGAGGGACGGAGTAGCCCACGTGGTATGGGTAGAGTACGACGTTGAATGTTTGCCGTTGAGTCGTGTAAGAGCGGCAGAGCGATACGTGGAGGTCAGCACGTCCATGGGTTGGGATATGACCTCAGGGTATTTGTTCTCGGTGATATCGGAGGAAAGAGGTGTGGACATCCGAAGAGACGAAGCCGGTCACCGCTAGCTACTTCACCGCAGCAATGAAATGATATGTGAAGGAGATGAGTCTCAAGCAGGAGTTTTCAATGCATTCGTTTAGGGCAGGAGGTGCCATTTCGGGGGCTTTGCCAGGAGAGTCCATGTCAACTGTCATGCAACGAGCTTTCTGGAAGAACCCGAAGACGGCGTGGAGGCACATGAGACTTATGGAAGTGGTATCGCCTGGATCGGGAACCAAAGTACCGATTGAGGGAGTTACGGAGGAGCAGACAATTGAACGGGTTTCCGTTGAGCGAGCAGAGCCTTTCGTTGGCGGTGTTTCGAAACAAGGCTGCTGAAGCAAAAAAAAGTGAATACAGTATGGGATAATATCCTTCAAATCGAGATTGGAAGGAAAGGAGGAATTTAGGAGGGCGTCTTCACCAGCCGCGGGAGGTGAGGGCACTGTCTCATCCCACACTATATGGGAAGAGGAAACCGTCACGAAGATACTGATGTATTACGAGGAACGGATCTGGGAATGTTCTAAACAATTTCTAGAACCGTGCACAGACAATAGAGCAGACATAAGAGAAAGTGATTTCACCATCACTTCTTTTGTGCGACCGAGTGCCGACACGGAAAACAGGAGACAAGAGGGAGAAAGGTAAAGCACCGCCCACCCCCCCCACAAAAGTTTACTCTTCAAATATCGCCGAGTAAGGCAGCGTCGATGAGTGGGGTTGTCAAAATGAGGCACTCAACCTAAGATACACTCACTCATCGACGATCACGTTTCACGACGGGTGTCTTCACCAGCCCAGGGGGAGGTGAGGACACTGTCTCATCCCACACAATATGGGAAGAATATACCGTAACGAAGATACCGATGTATTTCCTGTGGCCGAAAGCATCCCTTCTGTTCCTTGCAAAAGCGTACGGAAGAGAAGACGTTCGACGCAAGGGAAAAAGTATTTTTCAACACGTTCAGACAACATCCGCAACGTTCAATAAACAAACATATATCCGATGTTCAACGTATCTCCGACGTCAACAAGTTAAGGTATATTAAAAAAATCGTCTTGACTTGGCTCGATTGTTCTTGTTTCCTTCAACGGCCTTATATACTCTAGAGGAAGATCGACCTTTTCCGATGTTTTCAACATTTTGTGGCCATTTCAAATACATTACCAACGATTGGATAGCCGAGAAGAACATACCTTAAATACGTATTTTTAATGATATCGAAGAGACATCGATTTGCCTGCACTCGATATGATGCTCCTCATGACTCGTCCAAGTAATGCCTTTTTTTATACGTGCGTCAAACCTACCAATTTTTTTAAGAGCGTGACACCGGATCGGAAGTATGATCTGAGGTTCGGATCGGGGGTCGTTAGAGTAAAGAGGAACGGCCATAGAATGCACTGATATAAACTGCGAGTGAAATAAATATGATGGCGGCCGATGTGGAGGTCAGGATATGGAGATGCAGGGAGCACAGATACACGTAAATAAAGAGTAGGATCTGAGGGAATAAGTGATAAATATATCACTGTTCTCCGAGGGTCCCCAACTCTAATGACCCCCAACGGCTACGAAGAGTTGATGTATCTTTAGGAAAATGGGAAAAGAAGTCCACGAAGGCTCGCCCACTCTCCGCACCACCCTAGCTTGACTGAGTTCGCTCGGTCACGCTTGGCATTCCTCGCCACATCGCACCGAAGGAAATAGCCAACCTCCGGTGGCAGGACATAGCCACCACAACCCCGGACTCTACGCTCACCCAGAGTAGAGGGCATCAATCCCGAGAAGGAAAGAAAAGCTGGCCACCACTTACACCACTCTTTGCACTCGTGACGTTGATAAAGTGTACCTCTGGTCACGAGGCGGTCTTTGCCTCGTCCAAACCTGCTGAAAACGTATGCTTCACTTTAAAACAGTCTTCATCTGGGTGTCAAGAATTCGTGTTGTGCACGATCGATTAAATCTCCAAGCTCGGCTACGAACCCGTGGCTGCAGATTTGGAGTGGAGGGAAGATGATATTATCGCTGCAATGGGCAAGCACAGATAATAGCGATCGAACGACCCGCGCAAGACTCTCATCTCGGGATCGCTCGGGGAGGACCCAGAGTCCGGACACGAACGGCCGTAGTCGGACTTCGCAGGGCAGGCAGGTACATGCGCGATCATGTGATCGGCGGGATACATGAAAACTGAGCTAGATAATTCCAAGATCGCTTAGTAAAACGGACCTCCGGTTTTCACCCCTATATTTTCAACAAATGATGGCTGGCTTCGAACATGTTTCGCCCAAGATCAACCCAGATAACACCCAGCCAGCACTGACCGTGCGGCTGTACGGATGCATGTTTGTTGAAAACCCTCCCGTTGTTGGCCCTCCTGTTGTTAGCCCTCCTGTTGCTGACCATCCTGTTGCTAACCTTCCTGCATTTTTTTGGTGTTGTTGGTGTTGTTGACGGAGTATTCTTACGGGGAGAATCAGACCGGCACCAGCGACGGAAACAGTCTGCAACGGCAATCTCATGTCCGCACTACGTTGACATTGTACGTCGTCCGGGATCTGTGGCCCTCCTAGGATCGCGACAGTCTCGCTCGTAGCATACATCATGACACAAAAGTCAAGGCGAAACTTCCCATATCAACCCTAAAAGGTCCTGCAGTACGGTCTCGGCCTAGAACACGAAATAATGCGCGAAGTTGCCCTGCACACAACCTCCCGCACGAGGTAGGCCGGATAACGCGTTAGTTACCAATCCATGATACGAGGCAAAATATGGTATGGTACAAAGTAGTTCAGGACGAAACGCACAGGAACCGTCCAGCACGAATTCCATAATTAGGGTCTGCTCGGCTCTCATACTTTGGCATTGAAGCGATCCCACAGAAACATGAAAGACGGTGAATCGGCCAGCTTGGTTCATGTTGGGGGACATGTAGTACAACAGGCACCCCCAAGATAGATCGGCCGAAAAATATAACGTAGACTGCAAAATATTCAAAATCTTTGAATGCAAGAACAAACGAACGAATCCGCGATTCATCTGTGTACATTCGTCCTGAATGCTTGACCCCCAAACCGTTTAGAGCAGATGCATGGTACAGGAGTACCTCGTTGAAACCCACACTGTGTCGCCCGTCGATTCATGAACTTCAAGCGGAGGGTACACCATGATAGGTGCCTTCGGTCTCCGCGTTTTGGATCGTTTGTGTCTGTCGTGTTTGTCGCATGTGTCGTCGTTCCCGTCCGCCCCAGTACCACCAGGCAGTATCGGGTATGACTGACTGCAATTTGCCTCGGGTAATAATTTTGCGTTTGTTTGTGAAATGGCTGATCGAGACGAACGGAGCAGCTGCAAACAGAACTTTTGCCATGCATTGTCGTATGGAGGAAGAACTTGTGTCCGAGCATTTTAAGATACGAGACAGAACCCGGCACTTTCTCGAGAGGTTCTGAACCTCGTCTCCCTGAATATGATTTTCAACCATAATCACCTATCGAAGGAGGAAACGGATGGAGGTAGGGGTGCGGGGGGGAGATGGTGCCCCCCTTCCCCTATTCCCACATCACGGGATGGGTTGGCGGAGATGTAGTTGACTTTGAGACCGATGGTCGATGATTTTTATGAATTATCTATCATGATTTTCGACGAACAGACGCAGAACACACATGTCACGATTTCACGGACACCACATCAAAGCTGGCCTAACGCACGCTCAATCCTGCGCCAAGACACATACGTCCAGGGTTACACTTCAACACTGCCTCAACACAAACCCTCTTTTCCGCATCAAGACCGATTTCACGTCTTCACCCTGTGCATTCTGCCTTTGGTTTCACCAAACACAGGCAAAGCACACACGCTTGAATTCAGGGAAAACACTTCAACACGGCCTCGACACACACCCTCAACTCCGAATCAAGACCGATTTGACGTCTCCACCCTCTGCATCCTGCCTTTGATTTCAGAAACCTCCCTCGAAACACACGCACCCGGTTCCAGGGAAAACGCTTCAACACTGCCCCAACCCAAGCAAACCCTCTCTTCCGCGCCAAGACCGGTTTCAAGTCTTCACGCTCTGCGTCCCGCCTTTGATTTCAGCAAACACAGGCAAAACACACACGTCCGATTTCAGGAAAATGTACTTCAACACTGCCTCAACGCAAACCCTCTCATCACAACGAAGACCGATTTCACGCCTTCACGCTCTGCATTCTGCCCTTGATTTCAGAACACCCACACGAAGCACACACGCCCGATTTCAGGGAAAAAGGCTTCAACATTGCGTCAACACAACGCCTTCACACGCTGCATTCTGCCTTTGATGTCAGCCAACACAGGCAAAACACAAACGTCCGATTTCAGGGAAAGACACTTCAACACCTCGCAAACACAAACCCTATTTTCCGCATCAAGACCGATTTCACGTCTTCACCCTGTGCATTCTGCTTTTGGTTTCACCAAACACAGGCAAATCACACACGCTTGAATTCAGGGAAAACACTTCAACACGGCCTCGACACACACCCTCTCTTCCGCGTCAAGACCGATTTCAAGTCTTCACGCTCTGCGTCCCGCCCTTGATTTCAGCAAATACAGGCAAAACACACTCGTCCGATTTCAGGAAAATGTACTTCAACACTGCCTCAACACAAACCCTCTTTTCCGCATCAAGACCGATTTCACGTCTTCACCCTGTGCATTCTGCTTTTGGTTTCACCAAACACAGGCAAATCACACACGCTTGAATTCAGGGAAAACACTTCAACACGGCCTCGACACACACCCTCTCTTCCGCGTCAAGACCGATTTCAAGTCTTCACGCTCTGCGTCCCGCCCTTGATTTCAGCAAATACAGGCAAAACACACTCGTCCGATTTCAGGAAAATGTACTTCAACACTGCCTCAACACAAACCCTCTTTTCCGCATCAAGACCGATTTCACGTTTTCACCCTGTGCATTCTGCCTTTGATTTCACCAAACACAGGCAAAGCACACACGCTTGAATTCAGGGAGAACACTTCAACACGGCCTCGACACACACCCTCTCTTCCGAATGAAGACCGATTTGACGTCTCCACCCTCTGCATCCTGCCTTTGATTTCAGAAACCCCCCTCGAAACACACGCACCCGATTTCAGGGAAAACGCTTCAACACTGCCCCAACGCAAGCAAACCCTCTCTTCCGCGTCAAGACCGGTTTCAAGTCTTCACGCTCTGCGTCCTGCCTTTGATTTCAGCAAATACAGGCAAAACACACACGTCCGATTTCAGGAAAATGTACTTCAACACTGCCTCAACGCAAACCCTCTCATCACAACGAAGACCGATTTCACGCCTCCACGCTCTACATTCTGCCCTTGATATCAGAAAACCCACACGACGCACACACGCCCGATTTCAGGGAAAAACGCTTCAACATTGCGTCGACAACGCCTTCACACGCTGCATTCTGCCTTTGATGTCAGCCAACACAGGCAAAACACAAACGTCCGATTTAAGGGGAAGAGACTTCAACACCTCGGAAACACATACCCTCTCCTCCGCATGAAGACCGATTTGACGTCTCCATCCTCTGCATCCTGCCTTTGATTTCAGCAACCTTCCTCGAAACACACGCATCCGATTTGAGGGAAAACGCTTCAACACTGCCCCAACGCAAGCCCTCTTTTCCGCGTCAACACCGATTTCAAGTCTTCACGCTCTGCGTCCCGCCTTTGCTTTCAGCAAATACAGGCAAAACACACACGTCCGATTTCAGGAAATGAACTTCAACACTGCCTCAACACAAACCCTTTCATCACAAGGAAAACCGATTTCACGTCCTCACCCTCTCAAATCTGCCTTTGATTTCACCACACATGCCTCGCTTCCTATGGCCAGGTCTCACAGAAACACTAAACACGAACACAAACACAAACACATACATGGCCTCGGCGATGTACTTATCTAGCGACGGAGTCGCCTTGGTCTCCGTGTTGATGGTCGTCTCGACCTTGACCCCGATGCTGCTTTTGGTATTGACGATGGTGCGGGCGTTGGTGTCGAATGGTGCTCGGCGAAGTACGACCGCAGCAGTAGCGCAGCATGTCCGGGAGGTGATGCTGGATGGCGTACGGCGACGTAGAACTGAGACTGTAGAAGGGGCGTTTTCGTGCTCCTGGGAGACAGAGTGGTCGCCGAGAAACAGAGGAAACAGCGTTGGGTCAGGCGGATGTGGTGATATCACGGATCACACGAAACATGACGTTGGTTTTCCAGCGGATACTGACAGAGCATAATTGGGTTGTGAGAGGAGAACCCACACCAACAAACAACCTCGGGTAAGCCGTCGACGTGACAGACACCGCAGGAACCGAAGGGGACCGTGTGCTTGATGTGACGCAGCAGGGGGCTTACCGTGTCGACAAACTACTGTCGAAGGAGGAAATGCACGGACGTAACAGAGGCGGGGGGGAGGGGAGGGATGGAGGACCCCCCCTCGCCTTATCGCCCTATCCCCACACCAGGGGTTCAGTCCCCTCGCGGCCGTGGTGATGTTGTGTTGTATCAGGACGACGACCGATTGTTGGGTAGACCATCTAGCGTTGACAACAACATACAGACACCGTTGGTACACAAGCCCGGGTTTCAGGAAAGCACCTTTTCAACACTTCCCCAACAGAACACCTTCTCTTGTGCTCGAAGACTGATTTCACGCCTTCGTCCCGATCTGCCTTTGGATAGATAAAGAACAGACGGAAAGCACGCACGTCCTGATTTCAGGGGAACTTGACAAGGACGCACCGTGCAACACATGCAGAGACCTCGGCCACACCAAACCCACAAGTAGCAAGCTATCCAAGACGTCCAAGATGCTTCGAGCACCTCCAGGATGCCGTCCGACGCCCCTTGTCGACGCTGCTGGCCCCGTTGCAACCACCGGTTGCAGCAGAGACGAACAGGTGGAGAGGGAGGGGGAGAGAAGGCCGGCAATACACACTATTGTGCACTGCCCCCCGAGAGCGAATGGGTTAGGTTACCAACGAGACGCTACAAGTACGAATCAATCGAGGTCGGTTGTGCGGTAAGCCGTTCTTTCAGTTCACTTCTATCATGCCGATATCCGCATCAATGCATCCATGTGCTGCAAAAGTGACGGAGAGGAACGGGATAGTCGTGCTGCGTGAAACGACGGGCATCGACAATGCACTAGCAAGGCCGACAGTCAAGATTGCGATTTGAATTGACGGGAAGGTACGAGTTTCCATGCATGGCGAGAGAGTTGAGGAAACGATTCTGCATCTGGTTGCGCGCTACGGTCGTGGTCAGATTGCGCAAGGCACTACTTCGCGGCCGATACTCTGCTAAGCGNGCGCAAGGCACTACTTTCGCGGCTACCGATTCTTCGCTAGGCACCACTCGCTGTCGATATCTCGACCGAGCCTACTTGTGCGCTAGCCCAATCGGTGTTGCTGCGAAGGTGGTCACACTTAGCAGTCGCTCTATACACCTGCCGGCCGTTGTCAGCGCGGCACGCNTGGGGGGGGGGGGGGGACTGGTTTGGTCCACAAAACAGGAGTTGATGCGTGCATACTGTCGTAGCAGCTACGCGCTACGGTCGTGGTCAGATTGCGCAAGGCACTACTTTCGCGGCTACCGATTCTTTGCTAGGCACCACTCGCTGTCGATATCTCGACCGAGCCTACTTGTGCGCTAGCCCAATCGGTGTTGCTGCGAAGGTGGTTGCACTTAGCAGTCGCTCTATACACCTGCCGGCCGTTGTCAGCGCGGCACGCTTCAAATCGTTCCGAGGTCACCAATACCCCAACACCACCGTCACCAACACCACCGTTGTACGGCAAACGCGCTGACTCCGTCCATGTTCTGAGCAGGATGGCTTCAACACATCTCCGGGTTTTCACGTCAAGTGATCGTTCTCGACTACATTCAGAATCGTGTTCTTTTGATCTTGGAACAACGCCAACCGAGGAGGAAATCAGAACAAGTGTCCGGTGCAAGAGCGCAAGGCGTACTCATCTGTCCAGTCGGTCGGGTGTGTGTTGCTGTAGGTCAAAGTCTTGGGCCAGGTCATGATGTTGATCTTGGAGGGCGTACGGCGACGTAGAACATAGGCCGGTGAGGTGGCGTTTCCGGACATCCTGGGAGCGACAGTGGTCGCCAAGAGAGAGAGAGAGAGAGAGACAGAGAGACAGAGAGAGAGAGAGAGAGAGNATCGAAATTGAGAGCAAGACAGATATTGGGTGGCCATCGAAGAAGCCGCGTCACAGCCAACCTCAGTCAACACACGAAGGGAGTGCTCTCAAACCCGCACTCTCTCTGCTTACAAAGTCAGCTCATCGACATGGCGGAACACCGCAGGCACCACAGGCACAGCAGGCCGCTTACCGTGTTGACAGACTTGGCCGTGGCGAGCTAAGAGATGCCCAGGTCGACCAAGATGATCCAAGATGTCCTTGGAGGTGGTATCCTTTCGTACATCACCTATCGAAGGAGGCAACGGATGGAGGTAGGGGAGGGGGGGGGGGACGGCGCCCCCCCCTCCCCTATCCCCACATCACGGGATGGGTTGGTGGAGATGTAGTTGACTTTGAGACCGATGGTCGATGATTTTCATGGATTATCTATCATGATTTTCGACAAACAGACGCAGAGCACACACGTCACGATTTCATGGACACGACATTAAAGCTGGCCTAACGCACGCTCAATCCTGCGCCAAGACACGCACGTCCATGGAATGTACTTCAACACTGCCTCAACACAAACCCTCTCATCAAAATGAAGACCGATTTCACGCCTCCACCCTCTGCATTCTGCCTTTGATTTCAGGAAACCAACTCAATAGACACACATCCGATTTCAGGAAAAATCGCTTCGACACTGCCTCAACACAAGCCCTCTTTTCCGCATGAAGACCGAT